ACCAGCTGGAGCTGTGAACAGGAGCAAGGAGGGASGGTCACCTAGAAGTGAGGAGGCAGATGGACTCACCTATGGTTGGAGTCTCTGTGGAAGGCAAGGCATCTGTGGGAGAGAGAAGGTTGGATGTGATGTATTACACACGAGGCGGCAAAACTGGGACTCAGGTGGAAGATAAGGAGCAGTCAGGCATTCATTCCTGCTGGTCCCTTCCCTCAAAGGGGAAGCTAATTGCCCAAAGGATGCTCCTTGGAGGTGTCCAGGCAGATCCTGTCCCCTTCAGCCTCAAGGGGAGACCCTGTCTAGATGTGGTGGTTGAGCCGAACCCCCTCTTCCTCCACCTTGTGGCTTTTAGCCACTGACTCAGTAAAGCAGGGCCCCAGAACACAGGTCAGTCATGCACATGTGCCCATCTGCAGTCATAGCCCAGGAGCCTCCAGATGGACCCCACACACACACAGGGGTGGCCCCAGGTGAAGACCTCCCTTCCCAATGSAGCATTTGGATGCAGATGTGGCTCAGTGAGCAGGTGCCTCCTCACCCGCCATGCTGCATCCCTCTCACCCTCACCCTGTCCCCTTCAGAGGGTAAAGGAACCCAGGAGAGGAGGAGGGGATACGGGGATTTTCTCCTTGACTCTTATTTACACTTCTYCAAGGTGTGTAAGGTCTTGATTTCACAGTTTRTTAACAACCCAGACCAGGAGCTAAWCTGCAAGAGCAAACCTGATTCTCAGCAAAGAACTAAAGTGACTTCCAATAAATGGGAAAAGCACAAAAACCATCACGTGAGGACACTAACATGTCAGAAAGTCTCTCTAAGAGCAAAGCCCCCCAAGAAAGAGCGAGGACAAGTTGAGGGTGGAACAGGATGCCCCAATGTGAGGCAGGACAGAGGGACCAAGTGAGGTGACCCCAAGGACAGAATTCCCCTGAGTCCTGACCGAAACCCGCATCAACTGCCCATGTAGAAGACACTGGAAGTTCACTGGAAGTTCTTTCTTTTGTTCAAGCATGAAGTTGTTCACCTGTGAATAAGAACTCCTCCCTCTCCCCCATCATCGWGGGTCGGGTGGGTGCCCGTGCTCAGTGGCTATCTGCGTTGATGTCACACTTCAGAAATCTGAGCTTTGTCTCTGCTGGTCTCCAGGACTCAGGGTTTGAAGCAGATACCTACAGCATAGCTTTGGCCCTGGCCTGAGCCACTCCCTCTTAGTCATGGAATCACAGAAGAGGCGCCAGGCAGAGGCCTATTGGTTTAAAACTTGTGATTCTCCTTACAGGTGCCACTGACAAAGCATCGTGGCCTAGAGGCTCAGCCATTGCTGTAGGAATCTTCTAAAAGGGAAGGACCTTCAGCAGGCAGCAGGGCTCAAATATCCACCATTCCTGCCTCCCTCATTCATTCCCCCAGGCAGCTGCTTTGCAGAAAGTTGAGGAGAGCAACCCGCTTCCATCCTTCTGTGAAGACTATTCAAGAAATCAGTGGAGAGAAATGAAAGAAATACCCACTTGAAGACAAAATGGACCACCCAAAAGTGCAAGGCCGTCTGCTTAAGGACATAACTCAGAATTTCTATATTAGATTTACACGCCAAGTTACCATGCCCACAGACATGAAGTCTGGAAAAATACATGGAACCAAAAATACATCTCTGCACATGGAAAAATTGCTAGCATGATTTAACATATGTGCAAAATKGGTTTCTCTGCTTCCCCAGGAGCCCTGCATCACAGAATGAACTAGGAGGGACAGAGCCCAGACTGGGGTCCAAGGTCACATGTCAGAGGCTATAGCTTCATGTGAAGATGCAGCAGCCGAGATGCCACATCAACCCAGGGCTCCCCTTCTCCTCAGCTGCCAGGTGCTGCCAACCTGGGCAGGACACTCAGTGCTGTGGCACAGAGCAGGCACTGGGTGGCATCGGGGATAGGACAGGCCACCCATGCCTGCTGGGAGTCCCACAATCTCTGCCTAAGACCATGGACACAACCTGTCCCCAGGAAAGGTCTCAGTGCTGTCACTATCACTGGGACACAGGAGGCATCTCAGGTGGACAGCTGGGGAGAGGCAGAGACATGGCCCAGAAAGTTCCAGGGGAGCACAGCAGTTCCTCCAGGTGAGGTTCACACTCACCAACCTGGCCTCCCACSGGCACTCTCTTTACAAGGGCAGCCCCCGTCCACTCCCACACCCACCCCAAAGTGGGTGAAGATTCCTCGTCTCCCTTCTCCCAGGGTCTCCCCAGTTGACCATCCTGAGGAGAATGACCGCGGCAGCCCTGGCCTCCATCTCCAGCAGTTCTGAGGGTCTGGAGAGTCCCATCTGTGGACTGCAGGGGCCTGGGGCAGGGCCTCCCCCTTAAGCTGTCTTGCCCAGGCAGGTGGCCTCACAGGTGGCACCTCAGCTGGTGCCATGACACACCCCAGGAGTTCCCTGGGAAATGGCCACTGTGGAAAGCCAATGCCCTTGTGTATGTCTGCAGACMCACAGCAAAGGGGGCATTGGGCCCCATGATGGGCCAGTTAGAATGACACCTTGGGCCAGGTGACCCTGTGGACCAAGGAGGAGGGGAGGGGACAGTCAGTGAGACAGGGGCGTGTCAGAGAGCAGCACTCACAGGACGGGCAGTGGACRGGCTCCTCAGGGAGGGGCGGTGCAGGGCAGCAGTGACCTCCTGGGGCCCATGTGAGGAGGCCTCACCCAGCCTGAGGGGCAGCTCCCCGCCCAGGGGGTCCTTCTCAGGCTCAGCCTGACGTCACTCCTGCCAGCACACATCCCACGGGAGCCACCTGTCTGTTCAAGGGGAGAACCACAGTCCCCACCCAGGAGCCAGGGCTCACACATGAAGAGCAGGGCCAGGGCTCTGATCAGAGTCCATTCACGAGGTGAGAGTCCAGCGGGGCCAGGGGCTCACCTGAGCAGATGACTCCTGCGTCCTCACTGTGTCCACAGTTATGGGAGAGCCATCCTCGGTGGCGGCAGTTCCACAGGTAGGACTCATGCCCAGAGCAGGCCACGTCATCCAGGACAATTGGCCCTGAGCCCTGACCAAACCGGGCACTCCCTGGGGCAGACACAGCCCAGCCACAGCCCAGCTGCCTGCAGACCACGTTGGCATCATTGGTGTCCCAGTTGTCATCGCACACGGTGCCCCAGGAGCCKCYGTACAGGACCTCCACACGTCCCTGGCATCGGTTTTCACCGTTCACCAGCCTCAAGGCCAATCCAGATACAGTTCCTAGAGAAAACACATGATCTCTCATTCCATGCTGCTCCGTAATGGCCAAGGTTGTGTAGTTGTATGCCGACAATACCACTTCCCAGGGGCCAAGCTCCATTGTGAAATTTGAAGCTCACTCACATCCTGGGCCTTGGACACCTTGCCCTGTAAAGGTCCGCCCCGTGACACCTCATTCCCCTGACCTCATTGGGATGCACGTCCCAGTTCCATAGTCCTTTGAGGTGAGAATGGCCGTTGCTCTGTCAACTGCCGTGACCTGTGCAGAGTCTGCCCTGGATTTTAGCCAACCTTGCAACCAAGGCCTTCAAGTACAGATGACCCGGTCAGCTGGATCCCCAGGGACAACAAAGGCTGGAGATGACTTAGAGCAGGACCACCTAAAACACGACATCAGTCCCACCCTCATATACCTGGAGACTTTTCTGGAAGATCATCTGATTCTGATCTTTCTAACCCCAAGTTTTGTTTTGATTCAAAACTAACCTGAGAGCCAACAGTATTGTGACCCAAAGAGACAGAGTGGGGAAAAAGACCTGTTGCCACTGTATCTGCAGGAGGCAGAAAAGAAGTGAACATGTGAAGGAATTATGCTTGGCCTCCAGATGGTAGGAAGTATCCTTCCCACTTTGCTGGCTGGAGAGAATCTAGAGATCATCCAACATGACCCTTCCCTGGTAAAGGCTTGGGCAGAGGCTGATTCCCTCTACAGGGGACACATGAGGCCCCTGCTAAACAGAAGCCTGCTGATGTTGGGATGTCCTGCGAGAAGCTCTGACATCTTTCTGGGGCTCCAGGGATGACTTGGAGTGTATTTTACACAAGCTCCTCTTGATTCTATAGGCAGAATGGTTGAGGTCAGTACAGAGCCATGGATATGGAGGAGCTAGCACGCTAGACTAGAGAAATGATTCCACTGATCTCTGTCCCAAAGTACACAGGCTCTTGGGAAGAGTTGTGGCCAAGTTTGAATAAAGCCAGTTTCACCCTCAGCTCTTGTGACATTTATGTCCTTAACCTCAGAGAAGAGAAAGAGAAAGTAGGATCCGGGACACCCCATTGGCCTGAGGAACAGAGATGCCTGACACACATGTCACTGGCCTTCCTCACTGAGCTTGCGGACACCTGGGCAGGGCAGAGGCCTTGGGAGGAAGATTGCCCTTGATCTTGGCTTATCAAGAAATGGKCAGTGGGACGTGCCTTCCCTTCCCTGAGGCCATACTGCCAGAGTCTCAGGCCTTGTTGACTGAGCTTCCCAGGTCTCTCACTGAGGTGCCCCCGGGGGATCGGAAGGGCCTCTGATGCCCACAGTCTGAAGGATCATGATTTCCAGGGTGGCTTGATATGGGCTCAGAGGCAGGGCGTGGGTGAGGATGCTGTCTGAGCAGGTTTGTACCTGGTTCTTTGGGCTCTGTAACCCAAGATCCAGCACCTGAGGCTGGCCAGAGGCCAGCATGGATGGGTGAGAACCACAGGGCACTGAGCACAGCAATGAGACCCCCTGAGGACAGGACATAGGGCTCCACCTTAGAGATCCTTGGAGATGCCTCTCAGTCTCAGGGACATGATCCGTGAGAGAGATGTCCACTCGGGCCTGAGGCCTTCTCAGAAGGAGGCCTGATCACCCCATTCCAGGTACCCTCAGAGATGAACCCCGAGGTTCACGGGGGCCTGAGCCCACAGGGATCCCACGTGACAAACATTACCTTCTGCCGGGACTGTCRTGGAGGGCCTCAAAGCAGCTTCAGAGGGAGAGAGGAGAGGACCTTGATCAGGTGCCGGCCCTCACTTCAGGGAGGGGGTCTTCTGCTTGCTCAGCCTTGGGAGCGGGGGCTGGAAGCTCGCGTGCTGAGGCCCCCTCCTTTACTGAAAGGCTGCATATTTTTCCTTGTGAAACCCAACACCCATCTGTCACTTGGTCGCCCAGGATGCCCCTACAAGCRTTTTTTGCTCTTGTCACCACCCTCTCCCTCCTCTGCTTCCAGTCTCCACCAGTTCAGTATCAGCCCAGGCTCATCACAAGGCAGACGTCAAACCTGAAATGACACCCTCAAATGATGACTATTTGCCATCACTCAGATATTCCTGAAAAGGTGACCCCACCCAGGGAGAAAGGCAGTTCCCAGAGCCGTATTCTGGGCAACACTCCCTCAGGAGGGGTCACAGTGGGGTCACAGTGACACCCTGCAGAGCTGGACTGCACAGGCCAGACCACATGGTAAGTGCCAAAGGACAGTCTAATAGAAACTCCTCTTCTGAGGACACCATAGAGCAGCATCCCTGAGCCTTCTAGTGCARTAAGACCCCGTGGTATTTGACATCTTCCAGCAGGAGATGCAGCCGGRATGTGCTGGGCTGGGTCGGGGTCTCTCTTTTCCACCCATGGTGTGAGCATCCTTGTGTTAGCATTTAATTCYCAGTCAATAGAACATATTGGCCAAACCTTGATGTGATTTTAGTTCACGTCTAAGTAGTAAGGACCAGCGGCTGGCCCATCCTCCCCCACCTGGAGAGGAAGGGAAACTGCCACTTAGGCTGGTGATGGTCATGCTGCTCCTCATCAGAGCCAGTCCACTGCGGAGTGGCATCAGCAAGCTCTGAGGCTGCAGCTGGCCTCCATCACTTCCCAGCTGTGGACAATAGGCGGGTCCCTACATCCCTCTGACCTCAGGGTCTTTGTGAAAGGGTTGGTAGTTCAGACCCTTTGCCACCAAATAAGGAACCACTGATGGCAGTAGGTAACTGCCAAGTGTACGCACGCACGTGCACACACACACATGCACGCCTGCCCACACGCCCCCACATGTGCACACGCGCACAGAGGGCTAGGCCTTGGGGTCGCTGCGGTGCGCTGATAGTTGCTCTACCTGAGCACACGACTCCCGCGTCTTCCCTGTGGCCACACTCGTGGTTGTACCACCCATCATGGCGGCAGCTTGACAGGTAGGGCTCCCCTCCTGAGCAGTATATGGCGCCCAGGAGAATGTTCCCCGAGCCCTGACCAAAGTGAGCCCCGCCCGGGGCTGACACGGAATGGCCACAGCCGAGCTGCCGACAGACGACATCTGCATCCTGGGTGTCCCAGCTGTCGTCACAAACAGTGCCCCAGTAGCCTTGGTACAGGACCTCCACCCGGCCCTGGCAGCGGTCACCGCCATCCACCAGCCTCACAGGTAAACCTGCATCAACACAGCGGGAAGCCGGGTCTTGGCGCTCTCTGGCCCCTGCCTGACGCCACCTAGCGCTCCCTTTTCTCATTCTTAGCGCACCCTGTGCTGTCCCCATCACTGATTCTCCCCCTCAGGACCTTAAACGTCACTGTCTTTGCCATCCTCCCTCTTTCCCCCCGGAGATCCTCGTGTCCTCTGAGACCTCCCCACACAGAGGACCCTCCAAAGCCACCACTCGGGTCCTACCCAGCCCTGACAGTCCCAGCCCTGAACTCCACCAGAATTTCAGTGGCCTCTGGGATGTCCCATCTCCATCCCACTCTCCCAAACCCAGCAGGGTCTCTTTCCTCCCCTTGGATTGCCAGTGCTGGCCCACGGCAGCAGCTGGGCTGGATTCCTGCTCCYCCGCAGCTCCACTCCACTGAGCACCCAGGCCCCTTTCTCTTTCCCTCCCACAGCCATCMCTGGGTTAGACCTTCACCCTCTGGAACCTGGCCTTCTCCGGGGATCCGGGTGATCTCTCTCTGCTCCTCCCTCTCTCAGGCGCCACATTCAGACCCAACAGAGCTCACTCTGCCCTCTGTACCCAGAGGACTGTCTGTCTCCACTGAAGGCCCCCACGTCGAACCTTTTCAAAGAGCAGAGGTGTCTGAGCCATTTCCCTGCTCACCCCCGGGGTCAAGCTCAAGATGGCGTGTGTCGGGAGCAGGCCTCGCCCAACCCTTCCAGCCTCCTCTCCCACAGGCACCCTGCTCCTGCGGCACGATGCCTGCAGGTCACCCTCAGTGGAAAGCCACGCTGATGTRGTCAAGGAAATACACAGTGCAGCTAGATCCTGACTGTGGCTCTTCCGTGGTCATTGGAGGTTCTGAGAAATCTGAGCCAGGTTGAAATGAGGTGCAAGGTAAGGGGAAAGGCGGTTGCTTTCGTTTGGCAGGCGATGTTCAGAGAAAAAAGGCCAATGGGACTGTTTCCTGGGTGTTCCCGAGGTGTTTTCTGGGCCTGTTCACCCCTTTTATGACCACCCCTTCTGGCACTCCTGGGATGATCCCTACAAAAGAGCTCACTGAGTTCCTGTCTCAGCCTGGCCCTACCCGGGTCAGTCACAAAGCGCCTCTCAAGTCCTCTCCCAGTTCACGTTTGCAAATTTCAAGGCATGACTTAGAAAGGGGGCTAGCTCAAGAGTTCCAGGGATCATTGGTCCTAGATGACCCTAACACATCAAAACTCGGCCACAAAGGTCTGTACACGTCAGTGCAGAGAGTGTGTGCATGTGGGGGGCTCACTTAACAAGAGCCACAGACAGGGTTCCAGATCCGGGTTCCAATCTCTGCCCTGCCACTYACCAGCCATGTGACTTTAAACTTATAAGTATTGGCAAATTACCCCCAAATTCCCTAGTTTTCGTATCTGAAAAAGAAGCGTAACGATACTTACCTCAAGTGTTGGGAAGATTTCATTTACTCTATGCATTCTGTGAGCACTTACGAGGTGACAGGTGGTCATATAYTTGTTATAGAGTAACTCATTTAATGTATGAAAACCATTTTGTGCTAGGGACAGAACAAGTGCCTCACAGAGGTCAATTGTCTTTGAGATAACGGCCCTTATTGTACAGAAGGAGACGCCCTGGCTGCTCTCAAGTCTCTTCTGACAGTAGGCTGAAGCTAGTGTCAGAAATGGCTGAGAGAAAAGAAGGAAGGAAAATGAGAGAYGGGATTAACTGTGCATCTGGGACCTGGCCAGGGACTGGGCTTCCACAACACTTGTCCCCACTCCATCCCTGGGCATTTGTTCTGTGGTCCTGACTAGCCAATGGCCGCAGCAGTAGAGCTGACCATCCCAGGCAATAACCAAAACTGTGGAAAGAAGAGTAAAGAGAGGAAAGGTCTTGCCAGGTGCGGTGGCACAGGCCTGTGATCCCAGCGGCTTGGGAGGCTGAGTCAGGAGGATCGAGAGTTCAAAGCCAGCCTCAGCCACAGCAAGACGCTTAGCAACTCAGTGAGACCCTGTGTCTAAATAAAGCATAAAATAGAGCTAGACATGTGGCTCAGTGGTTGAGTGTCCCCGAGTTCAACCCCAGGAACAGAGAGAGAGAGATTAGGTCTTACCGTACTCTGTAGTCACCAGGTACCGTTGATCTAGAAAGAAACCAAAGGTGTCTTAGAAAAGGGTCCCACCGTTTGGAAGTCATTTCTGTGATCTACAGGTCACAGAAATGGGCTTCAGCTTTGCCTCACAATCCTGCCAGGGGGCGCTGTGGCCCAATCTTGCGAGTGTGCCTCCGGCATTCTTAGTAAACGTGTTTGTGCAACACATGAAGGAAGTGGGTTGGAGATGAGGCACTCAATAGTTTCAGATATAATGAACAAAAAGAGCTAGCATTTAAAATATCTACACATACACACTGCCACTTTCCTTAGAAATTCTTAGCAAAGTAATGCTTCGGTAACCACCTTGAGTATACCAAAGTCTCATTCTAGCCAAGCAGGAGAGTTTCCCAAAGTGTGGTGGGCAGACTAGCCTTAGGCCCCACCTCAGGCCTCCAAATCAAGTTCTCTCAAGGGAGGGAGCTGAGTGCAAAGACCTGCATTTATGTAATTATTCTACCTGATCCTTGTGTGCCCTGAAATTTGAGGCAGAGGCAAAGCAAAACTGAAGAACGTAACTGCATCCACGAGGTCCTTTTATGCTATGGCTGAAGGAGGTCTCTATTGCCTCTGCGTTTCTATAGGACCAAATCACACCTTTAGTGAGGTGGCTTTTATTGAAAGACAAAAATAGGTGAATAGGGTGGAAAACACTACCATCTAACATAGAACATTCTTTTCAAAGTACTTACCAGGTGTCACAACATCTGATTCCGTACCTGTAATGAAACAAAAGAAAACTTAGATGTGCTTGTGTCTCACCCACAGGGACCCCGAACGAAGCCATGCAGTTGACTCTGAAGCAGAGACAGCAACTGGCACGATGGTCAGCTGACATCAGGGTCCAGCACGTTGACCTGAGCAGGTGTGTTAGACACCTCTGCTCTCTCCCCYGCCCAAAGCCAAGTTAAGGCAGAGAGAGTCCATTTTAATTCRTCGTAAAGGCAGAACCTTCTGAAARAGTGGAATGTACCCCTGGGTTCCGCTTCCACAAATTCAACAGAGTGGATCAAACACGCTTGGGGGAAAGTGCATCTGTACTGAGTACGCAAAGGCTTTTTTCCTTGTCGTTATTCCCTGAACAGTATAGGGTGACAACTATTTATAAGCGTTTATACTGCACACAGTACGTAGTCACCTAGAGGTGGTTCACGGTGTGAGGGAGGAGGAGTAGGTCAGGAACAAATACTGCAAATCTTGGGTAAGGGAATCGAGCAGCCGGGGATTTTGGTGTTTCAAAGCAGGAGGCATAAAGTTGGGGGGTCCCGGGCACGCCCTGCCAAGGCCTGGCACTGGAGCATTCAGCCAGGCACCCTGTTAGGAGCTGGGCTAGGCACTGAGTGGGCAAGGCATGGTCCCAACCCTCCAGGGACTTCCTGCATAGCACCATSCCTAGAAACATCCTGTCTAGTGCAAGAAGCACTGCCAGCCAAGACGCTGTGGGAGGATGTGGGTGGCACCCAGGTGCCCATGGACCCATTGCTGTGTTTTTATCCATGTGGCCCAACCCTGTTTGTTGCTTGTACCCCTGTGTCTGCACGTCTGTGTGTGTAAGCAGGTATGTGAGATGCTCTGTGAGTGTGAGATATACGTGAGTGTGTGTATGTGTCTGCTTGTGTGCCTGTGTGTGTCTTTGTGTGACTATTATCTGTGATGTGAAGTTGTGTCTGTGTGTCCACGGATGTATCTGTTTGTAGGTGAGAGTGTGTGTACAAATGATTTTGTCTGTGTGTCTGTCTTCATGTGTGCAGCTTATTTCAGGGAAAGACAAGGTCTGTGGCCTGAAAAAGAGAAGTTAGATGTAGCCTGGTGGAGYGTGGAGGAGAGGAGGGCAAGACTGAGACTGCTCAGGTGCTGACAGCAGCCAGAGGGAGGCCGTGGCTGGAGGCCCGCTGGCTGGAGGCCGAGGGTTGGAGCGTGGGAGGCGGCAGTGGGGTGTTAGTGGTGGGAGAGAGCAGCAGAAAGCTGTCCAGAAAAACAAGAAGGTGGAGGCAGAAAACAGCAGGAACCTGTGGGGGACCGACACACGGTGTTGGCAAGCCGGGCGTGAGGACCTGAATATCCACAGAAGACTGTGGGGTCCAGGGTCCTGGGCACCAGGCTGCTGCGCTTGCTCTGGATCCCAAGGTGAAGCCTCGGGCTTTGTTCTCATTCCGCAGCATTTGGCAGCTGCAGCGGCTGAGTTTCATCAGACCTGGTGGTGTGTTTGCACATTTAAGAAGATTAAAGAACTGTGCCGAAGAGTGACCGTTATTTAAGTGACTCAAAAGTCCCCCATCCCAACGTCACCTATGTTAAAACTATCTTCACAGCGCCTGGAGGTCTCTCCACTAGATCTCCCGTCTTTTTAAGGCACTAGTAAGGGCTGTGATCCAGCCGCAGTGCAGAAAGGCCGAGTGGGAAGGTAACTGCCGGGAACCGCTTAGGGGCAGAGACTACCTTCTTGTTTTGCAAAGCACTGGACTGGAAGAGAGGGGACTAAAGGAAGTGAAGGCCAAAATGTCTGGACAAATTCAAGACTTAAAGACAAATGGCAAAGGTACTACGGAGAGTCCCATGTGGCCCAACCCCTCGCTGACATCTCAAGTTCACAGCTCCCCGCGCTGCACACGTCCACCAACGACACTGCAGACCTGACTTGGGTCCCTCCAGTTTCCTTTTCCAGGAGCCAATCCAAGACCCACATTGCRTGTTGGAAACTGCATTCGGATAAAATGTCAAGAGACGCCTGGAACAGGACCGCTGACCGTCCTGGTCCTGCGGCTGCCCCTGTGTGCCAGACCCTGCCGGGGCCCCTCATTCCTCACACCCTGTGGAGAACAGGAACATAACCCCACCTGCAAATGAGGAAGCCGAGGCCAGCAGCGGCCTCACACAGGTCAGTGACCGAGTCAAGGACATCACTGGGACCAGCATCGGGGGCCACGGCCACTCCCACCCAGCCCAAGCCTCRGCACCCTGCCTGTTCTTCAAGAGTTTGTGCAGAGACAGAGCTGAGRAGGGGACGTGCCATGGCAGGGCCCCAGGGCTGAGCAGAGGCCCCTGTTCATCTCTGCTCCCTACAAGGAGCAGTGAGGGCTGTGGCCACACTGCTGCCCAAAGGCTAGCAGACCTGGCTCAGGTTCACACCCCGGCCCCATCTCCTACCACCTGCGGCCCTTGGACAAGCCACATAACCTTTCTGAGCCTCAGTTTCCCTGTTGGAAGTGTGGAGGTAATGGCATCGACTTTGTGGTGGTTAGCAGGGTGAAACTGGAGAAGCAAGACACCCTTGGTAGAGGGTGACTCCCGCCTCTGCACACAAGCACRGGCACGCACTGTGTGGCTGTGCATATGCATGTAGCCTCACAGGAGGATGACCAGTTCCCCCTGGTCCCTGAGCACTGCTGCCTTTTGTCCCTTTTTAGATAAGGATGGGGCACCTGGCTCCCGGTCCTCCAGGGCTGACTGACTCCATGCCACCATTCAGAGCCAGTGCAACTCRGTCCCCATGAAGTCAGGGACTGAGGCCCAGCCTCCCATTTTCTTATGTTATCAAAGGAGACTGTGTGTCCAGGCTCTGGAAYGTCGAACCCCAAGGCAGGACCTGAGGCCTCCTGACAAGAGGGGACAGTGGCTGTCCCCAGTCAGTTGCCCACCACATGTGCACACTCACCACACCTTGTGGGCCCTGAGGCCTTGACTTTGGGGTGCTGCTTTCACGAATGCCATCTCCCAAGTGAACCTTCCACTTCAGAGCTTCCCCCGGCAAGCCTGGGCTGGCCAGAGTTCTGGGTTATCTGTGATYTTTACATCGCCTCCTGGAATCCATGAATCCAGCAAAAGGTAACATCGGAGGAAAGAGAATGGGAGGGGGATAGAAGAGGAGGAGGAGGAAGAGATGAAGGAAGAAAGAGGGAGGGGCAGAGGAAGAGAGGTAAGGAGGTGAGGTGCCAGAGGTCAGAGAGAGAGGGGAAAGAGGAAGAGAGGCCGGTCAGACAGACAGGGGGACAGAGGAAAGAGAGGCAGGAAGACARCAAGCAGACAGGTGTCGGTTCTTGCTCTCACAGCATCTCTGCAAAATGACACCGAGACTCAACCATCACAGTGACGGGCCAGTGGCCCTGTCGATCATCTGACACTCTGAGAACACAAAGTTGTGCTCAAGTAACTGGGCTTCAGCCCGGCTGTCTGAGCAGCTGGTGGTGACACAGCCTTGGAACCTTGGCATGTCATTCCTTGACCCGATTTGGCTCAGCTAATACAGGTCATCACACCTGACGCACCCACAGAGAGAAGTCACCAGGAGCATCTCCAGGAGAATCTTTCCTCCTGTTTTCATTGCATACAAACTGTTTACCCCATGTGGTGAAGCTTTAGGGCCTCTTAATCTCTCTCTCTCTCTCTCTCTCTCTCTCTCTCTCTCTCTCTCTCTCTCTCTCTCTCTCTCTCTCTCTCTCTCTCTCTCTCACACACACACACACACACACACACACACACACCTCCTGAACTTTAGGGACTTTCCTAAGCTCAACCAGTCACTTCCCCTTCAAAAAACTCACTGAAAACATTAACATATGATTGGCATTTTCTAACTACAACAACCATTTGAATTTCCTAACCACAAACAAAACAAAAAAGAAGCATTTCTCTTAAACACTGGCCAACGTTGACCATGATCACCACCTTCTCCCCAGTACAAAAATCCCCAAGGGATGAAGTCCCTTGATCTACTAAAAGAGCAGATCTGATGTGGCAGGATTTGGGGTTGCAAGAATACAATCAAAGAATAGAACAGTTAATCAGAATACCTGCAGATAGAACTGGACCCCACAAAAGACACAGTTGGAGGATGACAGTGAAGATCCCCATTTTGCTGGGTCCCTCTCAACCTGAATGGAAACTCCTTGATATTTATAGGTTCCTGGCTGAATGAGGCGTGTCCCCCAGGTGGTATATTTCTATTACTACCATAAATCAATGTGAAGGAGGGACAGGACTTTGTGGCTAATCTGTAGGAACAATTGAGGTGTGTTTGATTGATTGCCGTATGAACAACCTGGCCCCGGCCCAGCCAACGGCAAAAGCTCTGACATTAGAGATACSAATTCCAACTTCCTTCTAGGGGAGCCTCCAAGACTCCCAAGTGCTCCCTGAAAACGAGCTGGATTTTCATCTTGGAGAGTCTGAATTAACCTGTGGGAAGCAGGATGTGGGTTGCTGGGCAAATAAGGGACATGGTGCCAAGGGGCAAAGCATCTCTTTGGGATGACAGGTCCTGGCAGGACCTGCTCTGGTTGCCCTTGTGTGCATACCCTAGGCTCAGAGGACAGAGATGACATTTTTGATGACATGACTGGAGAGTAGGAGGCATGAAGGGTCATTCTCCAGAGACCATGGGCCCATTCTGGCTTCGGCCACCACCTTCTAGGTCTCACGGTGATTCCATCACAGAGGGGCTGAGAAACACATGACCTCACACTGAACCACCTGCAAACATTTCACACGGCTTTGATTTCTTGCTCTTGGCATTCACACTATGTGACGCTAGGAGCCTGGAAAACTCACAAAACCTGCCTCCAAGCTTTGCTGCCTTGCACACAGTCCCTCTCCTTGGGGTTGGTGATGTCAATACCACCTCAATTTGCAAGATCCCCGAGTCTGCACCCCCGGTCTCTGACAATCCCCAGCCAYCTACCAAGAAGATTGCCTGCATTGCATTTGTATTGAGACACACTCTATGGGTGAGGAGTCCCAAGGGAGAAGCAGCTGGCTTTGCAGGGTCATCTATTATACCATGAGGGTGAGCAAGGCCCTCCCTGGCAGAAGGACCTTGACTTCTCRCCATGAGCTATCAATCCCTAGTCTCCATGTTACATTCTAGAAGGATATCTTGAACCCAGGTTTATGTCAGCCACCCATCTGGATTCAGGACTGGACATCCGCCTCTGGCTGCATCCAGATAAAAGTCACAAAGCACATCTCTGCAAGGCAGGCCCACAGTGTTTGCTTCTCCTGCTGTCAGTATGACAGTTGAAAAGTATCAGGTGACAGGAGAATAGGGAGCCTAAGACTAATCCTGGAGTGCTGAGCTGACCACGATGCTGAAGTCGGGTCTGGGATCATCGAAGAAGAGTGCGGTGACAGGTCAGCAATGTCTGCCTGACAGCAGGAAGTGGTGGAGGACCCCTGTGTCTGTGAGGGAGGAGGGTCCTTCCCACACAGAGCAGCAGCAGGGGCCTGGTCTGAGACCTGGATCAGATGGTACACTCGCACACGTTGCTCTGGAGACCTACAGAAAAGCCTCTAGTCAGATGGCAGAGGCAGACTCAGAGACGTGGTGCCTAAGCCGAGACGCCAAAGGCAAGCGGGTCAGCCAGCCACTGAGACTGAGAAGACTCGCGGAGGACAGGAGGGACCTTCCAGGGCTGAGTGGGAATGAGAGCAGAGGCTTCCCAGTCAGCTGGTCCCGAGGCCACGGAGACTCATCAAGCTCTTGGATCACCTGAGCATCCCTCTTGGATGATTTTCCCAACTGCGTGGCTTGGGAAGCCCATTTTTGTTATTCTGGTGACCGCCTCTTTTCTCCATGGTGGTCAGCAGTAAAATCCCAGGACGATGGGGGTTGGGAACTTCCTGTTCAGGGAACCCCAGGGAGAAGGAAGTGGACAGAGCCTASCTGTCCTTTCAAAGCCAACCCAGGTAGGTGTTCTAAGTGGGAAATGGGGGCCATCAGTGGGTCAGAAAGGATGGGTGGTCCTGGGCATGCGGGGCAAACACAATTGGACCGCTGCCACCTGCCACCACATGGTGCCTTGGGCCCATCACCAGGCACCCGTCCTGTCCCACTGCCCTTTAGTAAGGCTCTGTTAGAGAGGCCTCCTCCTGTGGAGAGGAGAGCTCTGGGGAGCACAGCCCCCAGGCAGCAGCCCTCACCGCTGCCCCTCCCTCCTACTGCTTAGAGCATGTTTGAAGGCAGGTCAGACAGAGCCCCACAGCCCAGACTCCTCTTCACTGACACAGAGCTGCCACTAAGAACAGAAGGAAGCCGGGCATGGGTGGCTCACGCCTGGAATCCCAGCAACTCAGGCTGAGGCAGCAGGATCACAAGTTCTAGGCCAGCCTCAGCAGCTCAGCGAGGCCCTGAGCCACTTATCGAGACCCTGTCTCAAAATTTAAAAATTAAAAAAAAAAAACAAAAAAAAAAACAGGGCTGGGGTGTGACTCGGTGGTTAAGCACCCTTGGGTTCAATGATCAATACCAAAAAGATAAATAAACAAAAGAGAACCACAGGAAGAAAGATTCTGAAGCACCTTCCCCAGTAACAGAGCCCAGTGACACCAGCACCAAGGCCAGGCCACTCCCTGGAATCCCAGTGGGAGGCCTCAGGGGGAAGGGGCCATTCAGGGCTTCCCCCACTAAGCTGCAGAACCCTCCCCTGCAGCTGGGCCGTTCCGCCTCCCACCCGCCTGCAGCTGCCCGCCTCCCACCCGCCTGCTCAGGCAGCTCTTCTTTCTGGCTCCACCACCCCGCTGCCCACAGGGCGGCCTGTGGGCAGAGTTAAGGTCCCTCTCCCTTCCCAAGGCAGGAGGCTGAGGCCCTCCTGGGGCTGCCTCTGTCCTCTAGCTGAGCTGGGCTCCCGGCTGGGCTTCTCCTTTCCTAAAGTGGTTTCTACCCACATGTGCCSGGAAGCTGGAGGGAGACCAAGAGGCAGCCAGGGCCCGCCCGCCTCCCTGGGGTCTCTGATTTCTGAGCCCAGGAGCCAGGAGACCCGACAGATGGGGCAGATGAGCTGAGGGAGTGAGAAGGGCCAGGAGCCTCTATGGGGTGGGGAAGTGGGTGTAATTCCTGAGTTTTCTGCTGACACCATACTAAAGCCATTCTGTTCCCCATGCCTTTGTACCAGGAGAATCTATTTTCTCTGCAATTCCCTTGAGAGCATCTCTGGTATCATTAATAATCCTTTGATGATTATGATAAATGTAATTAATTTATGTTTTTATTTATCGGAGACTATTAAAAGAGAATTGATTCAAAACCTGCTGCTCTCTGATTTCTGGCTTTGGGCTCCTTAGGCACTCCTCGAGGGACTTCAGTGGAATCTACATAAATACAGGAGTCAGATGACTCACCTGGGGAGGAGAGTCCCCTTTTCCTCCCAGGGGACTGAGGTTGATTTGATCTGAGAAATGCCAGTGCGTAAGGTAGAGCCAATTGGACCAAAGCACAGGTTCCCCTCCAGTTGGCAGGGAAAGTCTCAGGTAATGGCCCTCCACAGTGCCAGCTCGGGCAGTAGCAAGTGCTGTCGGATTAGTTATCTCCACAAAGGGCCGGCTTCATTGCATCCAGATCTATTTCCCAAGGAGGCCAATTGTCCCCCACCTAAAGAGGTGTGAGGTGTACTTTGTTCCAAGGGAAGGAGGTCAGCTGGTCTTTGGGGCTTTTGCCTTGGGCCCTTGATTGCCAGGAACGACAATGACAGGGTCTTGCAAGACTTATCTCTCAGATATGGCATTATGTAAAAATGTGGATGTGTAACCGATGTGATTCTGCAATCTGTATTTGGGGTAAAAATGGGAGTTCATAACCCACTTGAATCTAATGTATGAAATATGATATGTCAAGAGCTTTGTAATGTTGTGAACAACCAATAAAAAAAAAAGACTTATCTCTCAGCTGGGTTTTCCTGAAGGAGGGATATCCTGCTTCCCATGCCAATAAGGTCCAGCCAACTGGGGATGGGACCATTTGTGCTTCTGGCCTCCCTGTTGGGCAAGGGGAACAGTTGCTTTTATTCAACGTGCAATCCCTTCCATCCAGGCACCTAAAGTAGAACCCAATTTCGACTTTAAGACTTTGTAGTAAATCTTTTTACTTCTAAAGTAACCTTGGTAACATCATTATTAGATTCCCAGGGATTAATTTCCCTAGAATGAGCTAGACAAAGGTATTTGTTTGTCCCAGATAATTGCCCCTGATGATATAAATCTCCACAGGGGAGTACCAGACAGGCATCGAATTTAACATTACATTAATGATCAACTTACAGAATGCCACTTCCCACATTTTTAAAGTTGATTTGGTGAATCTGAATGGGATTGGAGTCCATTCTTCTCCCTGCCAGAGACTGAAGCTCGTTTTACACATGGGTAGTGAGTCCAGCCTCCCCCTGCAGCCCAACCAGCTGTCACAGTTGTGAGCAGGACTTGGTAGAGCCCTTCCCAAGCAGGGTCAAGCTGGTCTTCCTCCCAAACCTGGGTCAGGACGCGGTCACCTGACCGATGTGAGTTTACAGGGAATTGCAGAGGTGTATCTGGGCCCGGAAGCCCTGCAACCTCAGGAKGGTAAAGTAAAGAGACCTAATGGGTAATTCTTAAGAAATTGATCCTATGTTTCAGAAGTGGGGAACCTGCTGTTTTCCTAAATAGGGTGTCCCACGTAACAGTTCACATGGGGACAGCCCTACATCTTCCAGGACAGACGTTCTAATTCAGAGGAGAGCAATGAGGGGACACTTAGTCCAGGGAGTTTCATTTCTGATATTAGCTTAGTGGTTTGTCTTAGAGTTCGGTTCATTCTCTCCACCTTTCCCAGGGAAGCTGGGTGCCAGGAAGTATGATATTCCCATTTTATGTGTAAGATTCTCATGAGTTCTTTAATAATGGTTATAGTGAAGTGGCTTCCATTATCTGAATCTATATTTTCTATCAGACCAACTTGGAGAATTAGAGACTCCAATAAGACCATGGTCACGTTTTTGGCAGAGGTTCTGGGCAGGGGGATGGCTTCTACCCAATTAATTAAATGATCCACTCTTACCAACAAACATTTTAAAGATCCTATTTTGGGCATTTCAGCAGAGTCAATCTGG